TGTTGCCTGTGAGCATACTTCTCTATATGAGAATGTTGCCTGTGAGCATATTTCTCTATGAGAATGTTGCCTGTGAGCATACTTCTCTATATGAGAATGTTGCCTGTGAGCATACTTCTCTATATGAGAATGTTGCCTGTGAGCATACTTCTCTATATGAGAATGTTGCCTGTGAGCATACTTCTCTATAAGAGAATGTTGCCTGTGAGCATATTTCTCTATGAGAATGTTGCCTGTGAGCATACTTATCTATAAAAGAATGTTGCCTGTGAGCATACTTCTCTATATGAGAATGTTGCCTGTGAGCATACTTCTCTATATGAGAATGTTGCCTGTGAGCATACTTCTTTATAAGAGAATGTTGCCTGTGAGCATACTTCTCTATATGAGAATGTTGCCTGTGAGCATACTTCTCTATATGAGAATGTTGCCTGTGAGCATACTTCTCTATAAGAGAATGTTGCCTGTGAGCATACTTCTCTATATGAGAATGTAGCCTGTGAGCATACTTCACCAAACTTCAAGCAAGGACTCTAAATGACATGCAAGTGCTTGTCAGAGCCCCCAACACACCACTGCTTGCTACATAACCTAAGGCAGAAATGGCTCATACTTAGCACAGTAAGACTTCAAGTAATAGTACAGGGTAATATATATATATTATCTCACAGGAAAATGCAAAGTATAAGCTTTATTTTTATATATACACTATTACCCAAAAGCTATCAAAACTTAAAAGAAACTTGTATTTGTTTTATGACATTAACAAAACTATTATCATTAGCTTAAAGAAACTCAACTTTTGTACTGACTTAACTGCTCAAGTGAAATGATCTCACAAACCCATGAAAGTCAAACCACTTAAAATTTAAGAAGTATTGGTCAAAAATTAGTTTTCTTAATAATAAAGCTACCACAGATTTGTTTGGAAAAAAGAGTATGATTGACACTAACTACCATGCTCTTTGTTAAAGACTATGTGATGCTAGGGTTTTTTGTCAGTAGGAATCAATTGAGTGGTATATATATCATAGCAGCCCAAAAATTGATGCGACGACCCATTTTATATTCGTGGGTCCTTGATTAGGTTAGGTTTGGGACATTCAGTACGTCAGTGTCGTGACATTGTGAATGTTCGAGAGGATAGGCTGAATACTCACCGTCAGGTGAGGAAATTGTTGCAGTTAAGAGAAGCTCTGTCTAATACATTCACACTTGAGAGAAGCAGAGTTAGTTGAAGGAATACAGTCACACTTGCAAGAAACATTGACAGATGAGGGAAAATAGTCACACTTGTGAGAAGCATAGTCAGTTGAGGGGAATACAGTCACACTTGTGAGAAGCATAGTCAGTTGAGGGGAATAGTCACACTTGTGAGAAGCATAGTCAGTTGAGGGGAATACAGTCACACTTGTGAGAAGCATAGTCAGTTGAGGGGAATACAGTCACACTTGTGAGAAGCATAGTCAGTTGAGGGGAATACAGTCACACTTGTGAGAAGCATAGTCAGTTGAGGGGAATACAGTCACACTTGTGAGAAGCATAGTCAGTTGAGGGGAATACAGTCACACTTAAGAAGCATAGTCAGTTGAGGGGGAATACAGTCACACTTAAGAGAAGCACTGTCAGGCAAGGGCATACAGTATAGTCACAGTTAAGAGCTCAAACAGATGAAAGATTACAGTCACACTTAAGAGGAGCTCGAGGTTATCTGTTATACATTTGTCCATTGGCTTATATTATAGACCTTTTCTATCATTATTTATTCATTTTTATTTCAGTACAAGTACAAAAGGGAACACATGTTCAATATTTATAATTAATCAACAGAAATATGTAGGAAAACATTATACTCTGATGTCACATATTACATGCGTTCCATCACATCAAAATTAGCAAAAATCGTTGTAGTCAACTCTTGAGATCAACAATTCTCTCTATTTTTAGATAAATAAAATAATAGGACACTAAACCTAAACAGTTATATTGTATGTTTATGGTAAGTTTCCTAACTATAATCCAATCACATATCTTATGTTTATCACTATAAAGGTTTATCCATATCCATGCTTTTAAAGATGCTAGTGAGTAATCATCAGAATGAAAATTTATTAACATTAAGCTTTTCTTACTCAATATAGGCCCTCTCCACTGACTGTCACTCCTGGGTGGCAAACCTGAATGCTCATCACGACTTAAGACAATACAAGGATCCTGGACAAATGTCTATACTTTCACAATATGGGGATAAAGGTGGGAAATAAAACCACTGTTCAGAGAGTAAATGACGTTTGTGCAAGTGGTGGTGGTGCAAGCACAGGAAGCAAGTACAGAAGGAGGGAGACGTGGTACATTGCATAAGAGGGGTGGATGGAGTGAGGTGGGAGTGTATACGGGGTAGGATGGCACAGTCAGCTGGGAATTTGTTTCACACAAATAGATGATGAAGACCTTCTATACATCCACACAGGAGTGAGGAATGGTCCAAAATTAGGCTCAAGATCGCACAGGAAGTGAAAAAGCATCTAATGCTCTGATACATATGTGCAAGCATTACATATAGGCTGGCTGCTGGGCCATAGATGGCCATTACTGTATATATATATTATATATGCGAACAAGCCTGAATGGTCCCCCAGGACTATATGCAACTGAAAACTCACACCCCAGAAGTGACTCGAACCCATACTGCTGGGAGCAACGCAACTCCTGTACATACCAGTTGCATTGCTCCTGACAGTATGGGTTCGAGTCACTTCTGGGGTGTGAGTTTTCAGTATATATATATATATATATATATATATATATATATATATATATATATATATATATATATATATATATATATATATATATATATATATGTATGTATATGTATATGATATGATATATATATCATATCATATACATGTCATGACATATCATTTAACACACCAGTATACATCAGGCTACTAATGCAAGCAGCGAGATACTCTACCTCATCTTGACCAGTTTACAACCCTCCTTCCTCAACCACCATTAAGAAAAGCTTGCTGGCTCTAAACTTATTACTGAAGTAACCCACAACAAAAGATAACTTGCATATCATGAGACCCTTCATTGGAGCAACATACAGCCTTTGCTGATATTTCTGATGATACTTGCATAGTCCTTTGCTAATGGGGTTTACTATTCCAAAGTAAATAGATTGGAAACAGGTATGTTACATGTATCTACCTGCCACTAGTCTATATTACATACATAACACACTAACATATATTTAGAATATATATATATATATATATATATATATATATATATATATATATATATATATATATATATATATATATATATATATATATATATATATATATATATATATATATATATATACCACACACACACACACACACACACACAGTGACACCTCGGCTTACGAATGTCCCTCTTTACGAACTTTTCGGGTTATGAGCCTGATTTCTTCGTAAAATCCGAATCAGGTCATGAACTATGCCTCGGGAAGAAAACGAAGTTTGTTGATACGCGTATGGCCGACCTAGCACGTGGTGGTACAGCAACCACACCTCAGTTTACCAGTTCCTCCCGTCTAGTGACAATCGCGCCTAAATTCTTTGTAAAGAATGTCAGTGTTTTTCATATTTTTTGTATATGAACATGAAAGTTATTATTATACTGTATATCTTGCCATGGGTCCCAAGAAAGCCAGTGGTAAGGTTCAATCCTTAAATTGTGGTCTGAATGTGTTTCAGAACTAGACTTTGAGGGGTTTGAAACTGAACCTGATGTGCCTATTGTTGAGGAAATTGTTACTCTTGAGCCAGAAATTGGGCTTGGAGTTGGATTGTGCTGATATGGAGGAGTTGGTGGAGGAACACAGCAAAGAACTGACCACCGAACAACTTCTAGCCCTTCACAAAGAGCAGTAACAAGAGGTAGCTGAGGAAATGTCTTCAGGGGAGGGGGAAGCAGTACAGAATGTCCTTTCCTCAACAATTAAGAAGTGGTGTAGACTGTGGGAAGAAATGCAAACTTTTGTTGAAATGACTCAACCAGAGCAAGCTGTAGCCATAGCTGTAAAAGGTTAATGCATTAACCTTTTTAATGACACTGATGCCTCACTACAGAAAAGTGTTACAACGAAGGGAAAAGCAATCCTCTATGGCGAGATTTTTGGTAAGAAAATCATGCAGTGAGCCACAAGCAGGTCCTAGTGGTATGCAGGCAAAATGTGCTAGAGAATGTACCCCCAGAGAAGTCATCAGTGCCTGATGTTATAATGGAGGGGGACTCCCCTTCCAAACACTAACACCTCTCCTCCTCTCCCCCTCCTCACCGTCTTCCATACGCCAACAAGAGTCATCAATAAAAGTAAGCAATAACTTGTAAATATTTTAGTACTGAAGATTTGGGTGAATTAGGTATAGAATTTACTTTAAAGTTAATTTTTTAGGTGTGTGGAACAGATTAATTCAATTTACATTATTTTTTATGAGAAAATTGGCTTCAGTTTACAAGTTTTCGGCTTATGAACAGTCTCTGGAAACGGATTAAATTCGTAAGCTGAGGTACCACTGTGCGTGTATGTGCGCGTGTGCGCATGTGGGCGTGCACGTGTATGTGTTTGTGTGTGTGTGTGTGTGTGTGTGTGTGTGTGTGTGTGTGTGTGTGTGTGTGTGTGTGTAAATACATCTTCAGAAGGATCTGAAGATGTATTATTAAATACGAAAGTACTTAAGGAAATTCCTATTTCAATTCTTCCTCCGTGGTCTAACACTGTCATTCATTCATATATATATATATATATATATATATATATATATATATATATATATATATATATATATATATATATATATATATATATATATATATATATATATATATATATATATATATATATATATATATATATATATATATATATATATATATATATAATATATACTATATATATATATATATATATATATATATAATATATACTATATATATATATACTATATATATATATATATATGACCAGTATATGCAACTCATTTGAAATTAACAAATAAATTGTTTTGAACATGAAATCTCTTAAAATTAAGAAAAAAGCAAGTGTCAAATAACAAAGTAATCATCATCTAACTTCTTGAGTAATGCACAACACTCCTATGAGTTTCCAAGCATTGAATCACTGAAACTTTCTGTCATCTTCACGTATCACCGTCATAAGCTTCATCATTATTTCTCTATCACTCTTACAATATCGAAACAGATACTTATTTTCCATCTGAATGAGTTGTGTGTTCGTCAAGTCTAGTCGACCCTCCTTCTTTCTCTCCCATTCTATGCCTACCATATCCAAAAAACTCTCAAGCAGGAACACTTTTGCCATATTTTCTGATTTTAAATTGAGTGAAGACACATCTACACCATACCTGGAGCCTCCACCTTGAAGACAAAGCCAAGATTCAAGACATGATTTTTTGTACCCAGGATAATGAACATGAGACCACATTTCAGGGTGGTGTGGTTCTCCATGGAGGTGAAATTCACAAGCTTTTTTCCAAATAGGATTTTGGATATTATGAACCCACTTGAGAGTATAGCCAATTGCTTGAGAGAATGCAAATTTGGATAGGTCATGACGTTCTATTACTTCTTTGGGCACTTCAGGCATATACTTTGAAAGCCGGTGGTAACTCTGCATGACCCAGTTGCGATGATCTTTCATCTGGGAAAAATGTTCTCGAACATTAAACTCCTCCCAAATCATTTTAACAAGATCGACTTCAACCACTGGAATGTTTTCCATTTCTTCTCCACTTTCCTCTTCCATAGGCTTTTCCCTATTTTCAATTACAAATATCCACTGCAAATGACTCTCTTTAATGAACTGTTCTTCAATGGCTTTTTGAAGAATAAGTTCTTCAACATTTTTTCTGAATTTGTTGTTCCAAAATTCCATAACTACTGTTGCTACCATAATGAAATATGCCTGATCATTTGCTCGCTTCTGAATTTCGTCATCAACTTTTTCTTGATCAGAATCACCACCACCTGTAAAGCTGTTTCCTGATGCTCTTGCATGCTGTAGTAATCGAGCCAATTCAATCTTTTTCTGGGACACTAATTTAGACACAAAACATGGTTTGTCTTGTTCGCATACTAAGGACAGAAGATTTTGTTCTCTTTCCGTCAACTTTACATCTTTCCATGAATCATCTAAGCCCTTTACTTTATTTATTAATTCATTTATGATAAAATGTTGCGACATGGTATATCTCCTCAGAAACCGGTCCTCCATGTATACAAGGTCTGTGGTGGTAATATCTAGTCGTTGTCCTTTCTTTCTCTCCCATTCAATAGCTACCATATCCAAAAAGCTCTCGAGTAAGAAAACTTCTGGAAAGTTTTCAGAAATTAAGTCATTAGGTGTCAGATTTATCCCATATGCAAATCCATTTTGGATCTCATCTGTACATCTAATCCAAAGCTCCAGTTTCTGGTATTTTTCTTCAGGTGTATATATTTTTGACCAAGTTTGAGGATGATGAGGTTCATTGTGTAGATGAAAGTCACAAGCTGACCTCCAAATATCATGGTAAGTGTTGTGTACAAATTTAAGTGTGTAACCAACAGCTTGACTGAAGGCAAACTTAGTAAGATCGTGCCGCTCAATAATTTCCAGACAAAGTGCAGGCATGTAATCTTTTAGTTTGTCATAACTGCGCTGAACCCATAAACGATGAGTTCTTACATGATGAAAATGTTCTTTCATATTAAATCTGTTCCAAATCATATCGATGATGATATCATCTTGGTCTTCAATTACCCAGTCATTCTCCTTAAATCCATCTTTATCATCAAGGATGCACACAAATTTCTTAAGTTTACTCTCCAGGTAATTTTCTTGTATGGCTTTGTTCAGTATCAAATTCTCTACATGCTTACGCATCTTTGGTGACCATACTTGGGTAATTAATACAGCAATAGCAATGCGCATGGCAGTCTTTTCTGCTTGATGTTTGGATTCCAACAAACGATCACTCTCATGATTCTGATTCTGGCCCACATGATTTCCATAACATTTGTCTTGTCTAGCAAATCTAGAGCTCTCTTGTTTAAGTTTTTCTTCTTCTTTCACTCTGGCAGATTCAATTACACATGATACCTCATTCTGCAAGCTCTCTGGCACCGTCCTGTGCATCATGTCTAAGGTATCAGACTCCATTTTTAACAGTATATATATATATTACTTCTTGTTATAATATTATTAGCATGAATAAAAAGTAGAATAGAAACTTAAGCATATATTTTATAAATACCCATGCAACATTACAGACAATATTAACTTTACAATAACTCCATAGGCATTGTAACTTACCAGTCTCTATTACAATGTTATCCAAACAATAAGAATATCTCACAGCAGGGTTGAGAGATTACCAAGTCAGTCTAGAATGCAAGAGGATTGACCATTTGCACTCAGGTTCTTTCTGAAATAGCAACATTGCCACTCTAAACAATAATGTGCATTAGTTCTTTTCGACAATGAAAAAAACAAAAATTCTAATACTAGAAGTATTTGGAATTTATCCTTGGCTCTCAGGATCTTCCAAAACGTAGAAACGATCTTCTAGTACTTCAATAGTATGGGATTCATCCTTGGCTCTCAGGATCTCCCAGGAAAGTTTGTAAGATTCACATACGACTTGAACGGATGATGTATGCTTAGCCTCAAGACTAATGAAGGAATTGCTCAGTAGTAGTTCTCAGCAAGCTCCATGTCATCTGAAAAAAAAATATTTTGTAAAAATCCTATGAAATTATATAGATTTTCACAGTTTGGTAGAAAAAAACATACAGCACACAATAAATTTTGCCACCAAACACAGTACAGTGGGGCCTTGATTTACGATGGTAATCCGTTCCCAGAGACGTATCGTAAGTCGAAACAATTTTTCCCATAAGAAATAAAGGGAATTGAATTAATCTGTTCCACACCCCAAAAAATATTAACTTAAAAATACATTTCATACTGAATACAATTTTTTTCTCTAACTACAATACAATACATATGTTTATCTTACCTTTATTGAGGACTCTTGATGGCATATGGAAGATGGTGAGGAGGCGGGAGGAGGAGAGGTGTTACTGTTTGGAAGGGGAGTCCCCCTTCCATTATCACATCAGGCAGTGATGACTTCTCTGGGGTACACTCTCTCCTACGTTTTGCCTGCATACAACTAAGATCTGGTTGTGATTCGCTGCTAGTTTGTCTCACTAAAAACCTTTCCACAGATTTTTGTGTAGTGAGGCATCTTAGTGTTATTAAAAAGGTTAAGGCAATGGCCTACTGCACAGTGATTTGGGTGAGTCGTTTCAGCAAAAGTTTGCAATTCTTCCCATGCCGCACACATTTTCTTAATTAATGTGGAAGGGACATTCTGTACTGTCTCCTCCTCCCCTGAAGACATTTCCTCAGCTGTCTCTTGTTGCTGCTCCTTTTGAAATTCTTCGAGGGTCAGCTCTTCGCTGTGTTCCTCCACCAGCTCTCAACACACAACACTCACAACACTATGAATGCCACTTCTTCTAACTTTCTCAAACCATCCCCTGCTCGCCTTAAACTCTTTCACATTTACATCACTCGTTCCAGGGGTTTTCATTAAAAGATCTTCATGCAGTTTCCTTGCTCTTTCACAAATGATGGCCTCTGAAACGGTATCACCCGCTAACTCCTTGCTGTGTATCCAAATTAATAATAATTGTTCAACATCCTCAAGTGTTTGTGTTCTATGTTTCGTGATTATTGATATGCCTTTTGCCACTTTAGCACTCAAAATGTCCTTTTTCTTAGCAAGTATGGTGGATATCGTTGACTGAGATTTGTTGTACTGCCTAACTAGTTCAGCAACCCGCATACCATCTTCATATTTACGACTCATCTCTTATTTTTGCTCTATGGTCATCCTTACATGTGTTTTCATATGTTGAACCTTACCACTGACTTTATTATATATCATGCCATGTGTCCCAAGAATCAGTTTTATGTTCAAAAAGCTAAAAATCACCAAAAAAATAGAATTTCTTATAAGCGTGATCGTCACTAAGCGGGCGGCTCTAGTAAAGTGAGGCGCCACCGGGAACCATGCGCTCAGTCGATCCAAATGTGTATCAACAAATATCCTTAGTCGATGACACTATCGTAAGTCAAGTCGCATTTTCCGATCAAATTTATATCGTAACTCGAAATTATCGTACGTCGGGGCAATTGTAAGTCGAGGTGCCACCATACAGTGCAATATACTTACAAGTCAGAAAAGGAGACACATGGATAAATACACTTTAATGCTAGATGTGATATAATGACACTAGGGTGATCAATGAAGGTGTTACCTCCTCCTCAATTCAGCTCATCTACAAATAAATACTAAAGCTTCTATAAAGCTACCTAAACCCTTGACCATCTTATGACTAAACTGCACATCAGAAAATGTAGAAAGAATGTTTTGGTCAGTCCTGGACTTGATAATGGTCCAGGATGGATCAAAACATTATCGTTTTTCATTTCCTGATGTGTGGTTTGGTCGTCATATCTTCAGCCATGTTATTGTGACTGTCTGTCTTGACCGTCTTTCCACCAATTTATCACTGTTCTCCTCTTGCACATATTCTCCTCCCTTTCTCCTCTTCTTGTTCTTCCTTCCTTTCCTTTCCTTTCCTTTCCTTTCCTTTCCTTTCCTTTCCTTTCCCTTCCCTTCCCTTCCTCCTGCCCTCTCTACCTCCTACCTAATGTTCATTGGTTTCCATACTTTTTCTCTGGGATGCACTTTTGGAATAAAATTTGCTCATTATAAACCCAATTTTTGGGTTTGGTGTGGGATGACACTTCAGGCTTTTGGACCTTATATGCATGTGCCCATGTAGGGAATTTTATTGCGAACAATTTCATACCAAAATGAATGACATACAACAAAAACTGAGGTGAGAAAACTGAAAAGAGTACACACATTTTAGTGTGGCCACCCGCTCATGCAAAATGCATGGCCCACCTTGGGGTAGGCTGGGGGTGCGAACACCGGGAACACGAAAGTGTTAATAAACTCTCATCAATTTTATGATTTAATGTAATATAATCTTGTTCTGCACATGTTTCCACAAAATTTTAATTCCTTACTCTATAAACCTAACACCACAAATGCATCTCAAAAAATAGAAGCCAATTCAATAGAAGCCATTCATGTTCACAAATACCACTTGAAAATGTAATTTAATATTATTAATTAAGAAATAAAACATGAGATACAGTATCATCTCCTATACAGTATAACCAAAAAGAGTGATATAATTTCTTATGAAATTATATTGTGAAAAATTGTGCAAATTAAATAAACTTGCAGTGTGCACTAGCTTATTTTAAGTGTTAAAAAATATGTACAGTGCTGCATTGTACAATTTCAAAACACAAGCTGAAAAGTTACACGTCACATATATATGGTATGGTATACCATTATTGGGGACAAGAAGCTTGATTGGCTTATTAACATTCCCCTATCAAAGGGCATGGCTGTTTACAAGGTCACCCAGCCAGTAACTAGCCAGACCCAATGGTACCGACTAACGTGAACGTCATTCACTGTGTTATATCATGATATAATAGTGTGTTAGGTGCTCAAATGATTTTCCTACAATACCAGTACATCAATATACCCTTTTTGATATATCAAGATGAATGACTCCACCTTCAACTTGCCCATGTTCTTGGGATGACCTACTCCACTTTTCAGTTAAACTTTTAGATAACTTGCTCCACTTCTCTATCAATCTTGGATAACTTGTTCCATTTCTCTGTCAATCTTGGATAACTTGTTCCATTTCTCAGCAAGCTTGGATATCTTGCTCTAGTACCCAGTCAATTTGGATAACTTGCTCAATTTCTCAGTTAAGCCTCAGTAACTTGTTCCACTTCACAGTCAAGCTTAGATGACTTGTTCCATTTTTCAGTCTGTTACCAAATAAACATCAAATACTAAATCATATATATAATACCATCAGCTTTACTGAAAGGTGAATGGTGAAGTTACATGGTGATTCACCATTTACATGGTGAAGTATCAAATATGAGTGGCTAGATGGCATATACATTGTGTATGTATATATGTGTATGTGTGTGTATATGTGTGTGTGTGTGTGTGTGTGTGTATGTGTGTGTGTGTGTGTGTGTGTGTGTGTGTGTGTGTGTGTGTGTGTATGTGTGTGTGTATATATATATATATATATATATATATATATATTATATATATATATATGTCGTACCTAGTAGCCAGAACGCACTTCTCAGCCTACTATGAAAGGCCCAATTTGCCTAATAAGCCAAGTTTTTGTTTTTTCGACTACCTAACCTACCTAACCTAACCTAACCTAACTTTTTCGGCTACCTAACCTAACCTAACCTATAAAGATAGGTTAGGTTAGGTTAGGTAGGGTTGGTTAGGTTCGATCATATATCTACGTTAATTTTAACTCCAATAAAACAAAATTGACCTCATACATAATGAAATGGGTAGCTTTATCATTTCATAAGAAAAAAATTAGAGAAAATATATTAATTCAGGAAAACTTGGCTTATTAGGCAAATCGGGCCTTGCATAGTAGGCTGAGAAGTGCGTTCTGGCTACTAGGTACGACATATATATATATATATATATGTGTAATTTTTTATATGTATGTATGTATGTACAGTACAAACATAAAAGTACAGTATTAGCATTCATAAAATTAAAACATTGAAATTATCACATTTAGAATACATATATATACATGTGATTGTGCTTGTATGAAATTATAAGCTGTACAGTATAATTTTATACATTTCTATCACATGAGAGGAACCTATAAAGGCATCTCCCGTGCCAGCATATCTAAGAATAGTTGTGGAATGAGTACTGGATATATATAATGATTAGAGGGTACAATAATAAATATAGGAAGTATAATGACCATAGGCTGGTGTAATGAGTGCAGGCTGGTGTAACCTAAAAATAAACATGGTTATTCATATAGCAACTCTCATTTATATAGCAACTGTCTATTTATATAGCAACTGTCGGCCTGTGAGGCCCATCCATCCATTACCTACCTGGAACAAGAACCAGAATTTGGCTCAATCTATGAGACAAAGGAAACAGATCATAAATAAACTACTGTATAAAAACTGGGGTGAAAACCCCACCAGAAAGCATAAGGACAACTAATAAGTGACTGCGTGAAGGAAACTAGGCACCCAAAAGTAAACACGGCAAACGATTGTTATTGCAAGGTGAATATCATGACTGTGATGCACCTTGTTGCCACTAGAGGGCAGCCCAGGTCAGACGAGGTCTCAGTCAGCCTTCCCAATCCCTCTTCCCTCTGGTGGCACCGGCTCAACACCTATTGGTCTCTGCAGGGTTCATCACCAGCTTCTCACTTCAGCAAAGTTGTGGTGGCTTGCCCCTTGCACATCAGTTCTATCAGAGGAAACCGATTTGTTTGTTTTTGTTTATGCTTCACGTGTGTGTTTATGCTTTCCATACTGTACATGCCTGAGCATTTCACTTTCAGTCCAGCAGCAGCCAGGGTAACCTTCCCTCTGGTAACTTATGTTTACCTACCAGACACCAGCTCTGAAGGGTTACAGGATACCTCCTGTATTAGCTAACTCCTATCAAATCACCTACATAGATCCCAGTCAGTTCATGTGACTTGCTCTCCCTTTCAAGGCCTGTTGATGAGAGGTAAAGTCAGTCTATACAAAAAAAACATTGTGTACCTGAGCACGTTATAGACCTGCCTATCATGCTGGCTATTTTCCTGTGTACTGTATGTTATTTTTTATTAACAAGTTAGGTACACAGCACTGTGCTGCTACCCTATTCTATATGAAGGATTACAGATTATACATCAAAATCTACCTATGAATTCATCTAATATTGTAATACCACAGGATGGTAAGTCATACAGTACGTGGAATCAGGAGGGAAGGAGGGGGAATGATCAGGGGAAAGCACCAAGCCATTACAACTACAGTATATAGCACTGGGAAGGGGGTCAGGATAATGATTAGGGATGGAACAGGGAGAAGGAATGGAACTCAACCACTTTTACGGTCGGAGATTGAATGTTGACCTGCATGAAGCGAGACCATCGCTCTACTGTGAGTGTAGTCTACTAGCTTACTAGCAAACTCTGGGTCGAACACAAGAATGTCTTCCAATATTCATGAGCGTTTGAAGTAGTTACAGAGCTCAAAGTATCTCGTACTATTTGGTCTGAAGTCATTGATAACAAGGCACTCATAAATGTAGTGTTGGAGTATGTTTTACCTCTTGCTCACATGGTTTACAGTTGGAATGCTCACTGTTGGGAAGTCATTACCTGCAGTCACCTGCCAAGTATAGATATCCCAGTTAAATTCTGGTAATTACTATATCACACTATCTCATGGACATTTTGTACTGTATGTATATACAGTACAGTACTGTATATAGTTTTGTTAATAACCTGTAACTTTTAATACTTCTGCTTTCTACCCTTTGAGTGTCAGTGACAACTCTTGTATCGTCCCTAATTTCCTGAAATACAGTAGTGCAGTTTTACAACAGATTAGAATACAGCAGTCCCCCATGGTGTAGTGGTAAGACACTCGCCTGGCATTTAACAAGCACTTTGTCCTAAGTTCGTATCCTGGCCGAGTAGGATTTACTAGGGATCAATCCTTAACTGTAGCCTCTGTTCACCCAACAGTAAAATGGGTACCTGGTGGTTAAACGATTTGGCGGGTCGTATTCCGGGGAACATAGGATTAAGGACTTTCCCAAAATGCTATGTGTGCTAATGGCTGCACAAGAATGTAAGAACTATTGTATATATAAATAACAAAAAATAAAAAAATACAGTACCTAGGCTGTACTGACCAGACCAAAAGCCTACTAGATAAAGCTGTTCATACTTATGTATGTTAAGGCTTTGCAATTTAGCCAAGTGTATGTTTGGGTTATCTTGCTCTTTCTCTCAGTTTGATCAAGGTAATGGTTCGGTGCTTTGCTGAGCTGCTTTCCCTGCAATCTGACTGCCTGCCAGGTTAACAATTTGGGTTCAGGGGGTCTGCTGGGCTCAGAGGTTATGTCACCTGTGAGTGTGTGCCATTTTTTGGTGCTGGCGTTTTGGATTTTGGGTAAGCCTGCTAACTCGGCTGCCTATATGGCTGCAGCTGCTTTGCAAGACAGGGTTTTATGATACAAAACTTTGTAATCCCTGTCTATAGTGGGTAGTACCGCTTCTGCCTTGGCCAATGATCAGCAAATTCAAATGGCTTCAATTTTCTCAGTTTCAGTCTGAGAAAAATTGAAGTTGTAGTTGTGTTGTGGACATTCATTAAACAGGTGTTTCAACATACTGTACATGCAATTCAGCATAGAACTGACACCCTGGCCAAGTACACCAATGCAAGTCTTGCCGTAAAAGTTTTTTTAATGGAAAGACTAGAGGAGCCAAATTTTCCTGGTAGACAATGGCTCGCAAAGCTCCTCTTTCCATTCTTTAAAGCACCCTGGCAAAAAACCTTGTCCAGCCCTGGGGATTTGTTTGGCTCGAGTTTCACTAATTGTTTAATAACATCCTCCCTGGTAACTGCTAAACTAGTCAACCTGTCCTCTTCCCCCGGGATTCGAACCCTAAATTCTCGATTGTGAGTCAAGAGCGACCCCGACTGCAGTACCGGGACCCTTCAATTTTTTTATATTTATAAAGCTGCATACTGTAATTGTATGGCTAGGCTAGGATAGGCTTGGTTTGGTTTCAAAATGCTTTAGTAAAGCATCTTAGGTACAAAGTGAGTTATATCCAACACAGCCTGTCCTAACCTGAACTTAATATTACCTAACTAGTCAAGTAAGCCCAGCACAGCATGAAATAACTGCAACAGTTGATATAGCGATACCGACAGTAGTCCAGTTGCGTTCATTCTTGGCTAACCGGCCAAGACAGAAATGGTGGGGCACATTTCCTTACACCTAATGCCTCTCTTCACCTAGCAGTCAATAGGTACCCGGGGAGTTAGTCAACTGTTGTGGGGTTGTATCCTGGGCAGGGTCAGTAGCTCGACCCTGGGACCACCACCATATGAGCTAAATTACATATATACAGACGCTCCTTGTGGTGGAGGAGCGGAAATGCTATACCGTTGCCTGGCAACCTGCTGGGGGCCCCCCAGAACACTTAATTTTCTCCTCAAACTCGCCCAGCCAACTGCTATAATCTATGAATATTTACTTACACTACTTGCTGTAACCTGGTGTAATTGAAAGATACTGTATCAGGTATAAAATACATACGTTGCTGCCCACCACTATTACACACCAAGACAACACCCAACGTTTAGAACGTTCACGTCAATAACGCTACAAAGGGCCTCGTTTCCACTTATCTCTACTACCATTTAACTTGTGCTTTCAAGTGTATTACAAAAGTATTGTGATGAGTGAAATTCGAGTGTGATTACAGTGGTGAGAGGTGTTTATGAGAGGAGTAGAGAGGAGACTGACCGTGTGGTGGGGGGAGGCTGCTGCTCCACAAGGCTGCTCCTCCTCTCACGCTATATATAAACAACTTCATAACAATTGTCTTTTCATTCCAAATTTATTTATTTATTTATTTATTTATTTATTTATTTATTTATTTATTTATATACAAGAAGATACATTGGGGTTTCTGAGAATAAATAGCATGGTATTTACAATCTTGATTGTGTTGATTTAGGGGCGACGACGATTTACAATCTTGTAAAGCCACTATAGTACGCGGCTTTATATACACTGATGGTTCCCTACACCGCACCACGGGTGCAGCTGGAAGTGCAGTTGTCCTGACAATGGGCGATGGCCTATACTTTGAGTGGGGAGTCCGTATAAACAACTGGGCCTCTACTCTTCAGACTGAACTATTTGCCTTGATCCTTGCACTGAAATGTGTACAAGTCTCAAAACTTGATACATTAATTGTAAGTGACTCCTTATCATCCTTAAATGCTCTCAACTCTTTAAGACATAACTGTAACATGCTCGTGTCCGAAGCTAGACACAAATACAACAAAATTATTAAGGATGGTAACAGTCCATTTCATGTGGTCTCCATCTCATGTTGGCCTCCGAATGCATGATAGAACTGATAAGTTAGCAAAAGAATCTGCCTTTAAAGGAGCCGTTGAGTGGCTCCAACCTTGGATTGTCAATGAGCAATCTGAGAGCAGCAGTACACCGAGTACTTCAACAAGATCTTGTAGATCTGAGGCAAAGTGAAATTGACACCAGTAATTCCATCTATCATCATACTATCACGCAAGAGGAGCCACACATCTATGGATCATCCGATAAAATCAGCAGACTTCTAAATGTTACTACTGCTCGGCTTAGACTCGGTTACAAGTATCTCTGGGAATTCTCATTATCTGCTGATGTAGACCGGACCAAATGTAAACTGTGTCAGTTAGTTAGTTTAGTTCATTTATTATGCCCCCCATACCCATCTTGTGGGCGGTAGTGGAAAGGGTTACAGAGGCACATAATGGGCTCAGGGACTGAACCCCACAATTCATTTAGCTAAACAAGTTACAATCTTGATGAGCTAGTTACAAAATTCAATATAAGTCATCACATCAACAATGGGTTCGAGATCGACCTCAAGTACAGGTTCTAAATTAAGCAACTGACATATGTGGAGAGGTAGTGTCAAAATTTATATGTTTGTCCTGCACACCGCCCCCCATCCAGTGGGCAGCGGTGGATAGGTTACAATCACTTAGTTACTACCTACAGTTAGCAAACTGGGGATATTTGGCTAAAATTTCTGGTAGCAGATCATTTTGAATGAAATATTGACACATCGCTGGAACATTGGTTATAGAATTGTCTCTAAATTCACGTATCTTTTCGCACTCCATCACAGTTTTAATCCCTGCCTTTCCACCCAAGAAGCAAATTAGAGATCAGCCCAAGCTTCGTCTTGAGGCAAAGCTCAACGCCTTAAGCCATATTGATGCTCTGTCCACAGAGCATTCTCTCTCTCAAATTATATACACTGATGGTTCCCTACACCACACCACTAATTCCGCTAAGCTTTTGGGGTTAATCTTTGACACTCGTTTGTCTTAGTCACCCCATATCTCTTATCTCAGAGTTGAATGCTTAACAACTTCTTCCGTTCTGTTGAATCTAAGTTGAAATCTTAATGGGTTTGTAACTGTGCACTGTGTTAGATAATGTTACAGTGGTCTGTCGGGCATTTCTCCACAGTGCTGACATTTCCTCTCATCTTCCGGAACCTGTAAGTCTATTTCCCATGCACATGGGGTATCCAAGCCAGATGCGATGTAAGTGTACTTCTGTTGTTCTACTGCTCCCTTTCATCAAACTAAGTGGTTCGTAGTTGGTTGAATTATTGTACCAACCCGCAGATCCTGATGTTGCAACTGCTGTGTTGAGGTCACTGTACATCTTTTGAATTGTTCTGTTTCTAATTACTTTCTTAATCTGTGATAGAGTCTGTGGTTTATAAATGTCTACATGCAGCAGATTGGGACTAGCACTGTATCTAGTGCTACCCAATTCCTCAATATATGTATCTAAGCCATATATATGTATATGAAATTTAAGCCATACGACTTTACCATTGTAATCATTGCTATCATCTTATATCACGGTTGTTATATTAAACGCATATTTCATTGCATTATACCTTGAAATAATCCCTAAACTATGCTACCATGTGCCTGTTTATAACCCTCAAATTTTACTTTAATGTACCTACTAATCTTTTCAAATTTTCTTACAATATACCTGTTATTATTTTATAAATTTTGCCAGAAATTACCTACTTAAAATTATCTGTTAGATTAAGGACCTGCCCGAAATGTTATGCTTGCTAGTGGCTTTACAAGAATGTAAAAACCTTAATGCTATGTACTCTCATAAACCCAATGTACCTTCTTGTATATATATATAAATACTAATTAATGTGGGAAGATTTAGGAAGAAGATAGGAAGAGGTATGAGTTTTGTCATTAGTGGGTTAAGTAGACTTAACGCCAATCTCATTAAGCTAATGAGAGCTTGGAGCGAGTTTTATATTATTGACATAATGTGTACTCGCTGCAGACATATCTATCGAGGTCGCTCTATATTTAGACAAATTATCTTGTGTATCTCGACAGGATGTGTTTTAACTCATAACTCTCCCGTAACTCCCGCACGGGCATATGGCATATATATACGTATATACACAGAGAAGTATATACACACCAAGAGTATATACACACCTTATAGTATATACTATATATACTATATATACAGAGTATATACTGTATATACACACAGTATATATACACTAAGTATATACACACCTTCTTTCTATCTGTCAGGACAAACATATAAATTTTGACACTAGCTCTCCACATATGTCAGTTGCTTAATTTAGAACCTGTACTTGAGGTCGATCTCGAACCCATTGTTGATGTGACGACTTATATTAAAGTTTGTAACTAGCTCATCAAGATTGTAACTTGCTTAGCTAAATGAATTGTGGGGTTCAGTCCCTGAGCCCATTATGTGCCTCTGTAACCCTTTCCACTACCGCCCACAAGATGGGTATGGGGTGCATAATAAATGAACTAAACTAACTAACTGTCTGTCTGTCTGTCTCATTCTGTCTTGTCTCTCCTTTTGTTATTTCTCCCTCTTATATTAGCCCTAAACCCCCTACGTGTCAACCCATGTCTTGTTATTATTAAACAATAGTTTTGTTGACCAGCTTGTATAATTGCTGATTTTTGCCATTTTTAACCCCCACCCCCCACCCCCTCCTATTTCCTTTTTTTTTTAACACAATTTATACGTTAATCTCAATTAGTATAAGTTTTAATCTAAGTGTTTTTCCCCCACACCTTGCCATTAACGCTGCGTATTAGTGGATTTAGGTAGTGAATGTACTAGGCTCTATCTTTAAATTCAACATTATGTTTGTAACTCATCTTCTATGTATGTACTTTTACCTGAATAAACATTTGAATTTTGAATTTGAATTTGAATAAATACATTTAAGCAAACGCACGAGGAGTCTCTACCTCAGTCCTCCACAGCTCCGGTCCGCTCCGCTCGAAACACCCGCCCTCCTCCCTTGACTGCAGAACATCTATGCACTTTAGAGCTCCTCACGTTTTCTCCTATGCTTACTTTCTAATTTAGAAATTTGGGGGATGCTGCGCCGGATCCCCAAGTCTAGGGCTGCCTGCAGCTACTTACCATATGTCAAGTGCTCACTTGTAATGCAAGTTGGGGGTTGCAGACTTTACATGTAAACTAGGCACTAGCATATCATTACCCCTGGAAATTCTTATCTATTCTTTTCTATGCCCTCTGTGTATACAGAATATATTTTATACATACTGTACTGGCTGTGCCACTCAATTAACTCTGGCGTTGTTTTTAATTATAGCATTAAGCTGATTGCGAGTACTGCAACATTGCTTCGGCTAGCCGGCACTAGGCACGGTTAATGTCCTACGACTTTTTCCCTTAGTTGCATCTTTGCAGTACTGGCATTCTACTCAGTCATGTTACACGACTTCTTTTATATTGTGGTACAGCAGTTGCTCTGTAAACATTACTTAATAAATTAAGGTCCCCCCCACTCCTGGCTTGTTTTTTCTCCACGATCAGAATAAATAATAAAATAATAATGTCTCCGTGGTGTAGTGGTAAGACACTTGCCTGGCGTTCCGCGAGCGCTTTGTCATGGGTTCGTATCCTGGCCGGGGAGGATTTACTGGGCACAAATCCTTAACTGTAGCCTCTGTTTAACTCAACAGTAAAATGGGTACTTGGTTGTAACAACGATTCTTCGCGGCCTGCCCGAAACGCTACGCGTACTAGTGGCTGTACAAGAATGTAACAACTCTTGTATATATCTCAAAAACAATTAAAATAGTCTCCCATTGGCATGCAAAACGAGAGGGGGGCCGGGGAGGCAAGCCAATTTCAAATTCAAATTTAAATGTTTATTCAGGTAATACAAATATTGATGAGTTTATAGATAGAGCTAGTATATACAATGCCTAAAGCCACTATTACGCAAAGCATTTTGGGCAGGAAAAACACTAAAGACTAAAACTTAATACTATGGTAACTATTATATTATTCACAACAGTATTAGTGGCATTAGGTATTTATTTATTTATTTATTTATTTATATACAAGAAGGTACATTGGGTTTATTAGAGTACAGAAACTTGAAGTTATAAGAACACTGCTTTCCCCCCCCCCCAAAAAAAAAATAGCGGTGGGTTTTCTGAGAGAAGAAAACGTGTGTCTGAGAGCTGAGTCTAACCGCCCAAGCTGCGCGCGCAACGAGCCAAGGTTATATAAGCTCTGCCCACATACTGTGGGGGCCCCTGTTCTCGACAAGCAAGCAGCTGCTCACTTACAAAGCGCCCACCCTCCTCCCGGGATCCTCTGCATCCCCTGTTTTCTTTTCCAAGGGACGACGCACACGCAGGCTCAGGGGGCACTTGCTCTAGCTTGCTAAGCATTTGCGGTATCTTTGGGGGTGCTCCGCCGGAA